ACCACATCACATCCACAGCCCGTTTTAATTATTTAGTTTAGAGACAGAGTCTCACTGAGTTGCTCAGGGCCTTGGTAAGTTGCTGAGGCTGGCTTTGAACTTGAGATCCTCCTGCCTCAGCCTCCTAAGTCTCTGGGATTACAGGCGGGAGTCACCGTTGGCGCCTGGCTAAGGGCCTCTTGTTCCGCAGTCATAGTACAGTTGAGCAACAGCCACTCACTGGTGATGCGTCCTGGTATCTAACAGTGCAGGCTCTATTCCAATGGCTAATCCTCCCCAAACATTTCCTTATGACAAAAATTTTCGACTAGTCCAGTATCCATTCTTGTTCCTCTTTAGTTTTCTTTGTTTCACAAAATTGACTTTTTTTTTTCCTGTATTGGAAATTGAACCCAGGGTTGCTCTCTACCACTGATTACATCCCAGAACTTTAAAAAATGTTTTAAATTTTTTAGTTGTGGTTGGACACAATGCCTTTATTTTATTTATGTTTTTTATGGGGTGCTCATGGGGCCTCTCATGTGCTAGGCGAGCGCTCTATAGCTGAACCACAACCCCAGCCCAATCTCAGAACTTTTTACATTAGTTTATTTTGATACAGGATCTCCCTAAGTTGCGGAGGCTGACCTTAAACTTGTGATCCTCCTGCCTCAGCCTCCCAATTAGCTGGGATAACAGGCTTTCGCCACTGAGCTCCGCACAAAATTGACATTTTTTTCTTTTGAAGATTTTTGAAGATGGCAGATGGTTCATTTTAGGATATTCCCCTTCACTAGGGTTTATTATCAGCGGTGGCACAGGGCCCTAGCGCATCGGGTGGGCCGGGCATCGATTCATCCTTGGTGCGGAGCTGAGGGTGGCCTGGTGAATCAAGGAGTCCAAGCCTGGGACTCACCAGCAGGTCACCTCTCTCTCCCGGGCCTCACCTTCCTTCCTGTAAATGGAGTTCGGCTCCCGGGGGCGTCTGTAAACCCACCTGAAGAGCAGAGGCGTCCTGTTAGTGCTCGCCATCTTAAAATAGTTTTGGCATGTCGCCAACAGTTAGGGCTTGGCAGATGTCACTCTCAGTCTGGAGAGAGGTCCTCCAACTCTCTGGGCTCACCCAGGGTGGGGAGCTAAGAGCAGTTGTGCCACAGGAGCTGGCCCGGGACGTGCACTGAAGGTGTGACATCGGGTCCTGCCCCGGTCCCAGGATGCTGGGTTGTCACCTGGGAGTCTTGCTGGGTGGGGTGAGGGCTGCATTCTGTGAGGTGGGGGGCCCGGGAGACCTGCAGAGGGTCCTCTCCCACCCCTTGGAGTTTGCCTCTCTCCGGGGCAGGGGAGGGGTGTGGAAGGACACTCTGGTCCCAGGGCCTGGGAGGCCCCGAGGGGATTTCCAAGTGTTGAGAAGCTGGATCCTTTGTTTTAGAGAAGTGACTTCCCCGGGTCAGGCCTCCATTCAGCCCTTGAGCCTGGGGACAGTTCCTCACACACAAAGAGGCACCTCACCACCCCAGCCCACTCACATGGAAGATGTGGGTTGTGCCCGTTGTTCAGATGAGGAAACCGATGCTCAGCCTGGTGAAGTCACTTTGCCTCGGGCCATGGAGTTATTCGGTGGCAGAGTGCTGGTGTGACGGATATACTTGTTGTCCTCAATGACCATTCTTTTCTCTTTCTTCGGAGACAGAAATTCTGAATTTTACCTGGCTACCTGCTGCCCGGATGAAACTACCTTTTCCAGGCTCCTTTGTGATAGGTGTGACTTTGTGACTTAATTCTGGCCAATGGGATATGACATGTATAAATGACTTCTGGGTTGTAACTTTAAAGGATAGGGGTGTGGGCTGGGGATGTGGCTCAAGCAGTAGCGCGCTCACCTGGCATGAGTGCGACCCGGGTTCGATCCTCAGCACCACATACCAACAAAGATGTTGTGTCCGCCAAAAACTAAAAAATAAATATCAAAATTCTCTCTCTCTCTCTAAAAAAACTAAATAAATAGATAAAGGATAGGGGTATGCAACTTGACTGACTTTTTTTTTTCTTCCATGGTATTATTTCCTAGGGTAGTTGGAATATGGATGTGATAATGGGAGCTGGAGCAGTAATATAAGTGCAGCAAAATAATATAGTGGGACTCTGGGTCTCTGGCATCTTCAAGTTACTCTTGTAGCTGGGGTGTTAACTGGAACCTTTCCATTAGTGAAAATTAGACCTCCATCTTATTTAATCTCCTATAGTTTAAACTTTTTTTTTTTTTTTCCTACAGAACTAAAGCATTTAGGATCTCATCTCATTTTTCCATCAGGATCAAGAATGGATCCATCAACTCCATGGTTTTATTTTGTCCCCACCTGTCCTCAAGGCCAATTTTCACATAATGACAGCAATTCCCATTTATTGAGTTCTTGGCCATCCCGGTGGGCTGTAATAAGCACTGTGCGTAATTCACATAACCCACCCGTGTTGGATCCTCAGGCCAACCCTTCAAGATGGATGTGATCACTCTTCTCTCTTTTTTATCTTTTTGGTACCTGGGATTGAATTCAGGGTGTTCAACCACCGAGCCACATCCTCAGCCCTTTTTAATTTTTATTTTAAGGCAGGGCCTTGCTAAGTTGCTGAGGCTGGCTGTGGACTCGGGATCCTCCTGCCTCAGCCTCCTGAGCTGCTGGGATTACAGGCGTGGGCTACTGCGCCCGGCCCTGTTCCCTCTTTTTGCAGATGAGGTAACTGGAGTCCAGGGCCGTGAAGTCACTAGACCAAGGCTACACCACAGGAAGTGGAAAAGCAGGACTTGAACTCAGTTCTGCCTCCAGGGCCTGTGCTCCTAAGACAGTGGCACCTGTTTTCTCCTTTCCAGGAGTCACGTAGGTGCAGTTGTGCACTGTCCCAGGCACAGCCACGCCCGGCTCACTCACAAGGCAGAGGCCCGGAGAGGGCCAGCAGGAGCTCTTCAGGTGGCCGGTCCGAGTTAAGAGGCCACCTGCTGTCTCTGAGCCTCAGTTTTTCTCCTCTGGATTATGGGACCATCATGGTCCATAAATGGCTGCTAATATTTTCCTGTCTGTTCACACCCCCAATTGCTCACACAGTGTGACATGGGACCAGACCTTGCTACAAAGAATCGCCAACACCACAGGCAGGGGGCAGTGGGCACGGGCTCAGTCATTCTGCTCTGTGCCAGGTGGCGCGGTGGCCTCTGCGGGAAGAAGCCAAGAGCTTGCAGATCACACATCACATGCGCATCACATGCGCATCACATGCGTGTGGCAGGTTCTCATACAAGGTGCTGTGCCCCGCCCAGCAGTTACCCTGGCCCAGTGGGCTGGAGGGTGACTCCCTCCCCAAATGTCGCCCACATCTCAATCCTGGGAACCTGGGAACACGTGACCTTATTTGGAAAAAGCATCTTTGCAGACTAGTGAGGCTGGGATCTGGGAATGAGCTCATCCTGGATTATGGGGGAGGGGTCCTGAATCCTGTAACAAGGTCCTCAGAGGAGACAGAGGACACAGGCACACAGGGGAGAAAGCCATGTGAAGGAGCCACCAGAGGCTGGACCAGACCAGGAGGGCTCATCCTGGAGAGCTTTGGAGGGGACACAGCTCCGATGGACGCCTTGATTTCTGACTTCCGGCCTCCAGGAAGGGGAAAGAGTTCGTCTCTGCTGGGACTGATCTCAGGGGCTTGACCACGGAGCCCATCGCAGCCTTTTCTGCATGTGACTTAGACACAGGGTCTTGTTAAGTTGCTGAGGGCCACAGTAAGTGGCTGAGGCTGGCTTTGAACTTGTGATCTTCCCGCCTCAGCCTCCTGAGCCATGGAATGACAGGCGTGCACCACCACGCCCAACTAAATATCTGTTGCGTTCAGTCACCCAGTTTGTGGCAATTGGTAATGTGCCTTCCAAGCTAGGCAGCTGCCTGGGCAACACAGGCCAGAGGCAGGGTCAGAAGCCCAGGCACGTGGTCCCAAACAGACCCAGACCCCGTGCCTGGGTTTCCGCTCACATCTGTGATCCCAGAAACTCTGGAGGTTAAGGAAGGAGGATCGAAAATTTGAGGCCAGTGAAACTGAGTGAGAACTTGTCCCAAAATTAAAAATGAAAAGGCTGGAGGTGTAGCTGAGGGTGGAGTGCCCAGCAAGCAGGAGCCCTGGGCTCCATTTCCAGAACCGAGGGGAGGAAAAAACAACCAAACACAACGTCCTCCACCCTGCAACCTGGGAGAATCCCCAGATTCACTCAAAAGGGACTTCACAGACGGGCTGCAGCCCAAGGATGTTGCGCTGGGGAGACTGGGTGAGGATGTTGCGCTGGGGAGACTGGGCCACCCAGGTGGGACCAACGTCCTCTTAAGAGTCCTTCTGAGAGGAAGGCAGAGCTGGAGGACATGTGACAAGGGACCCTGAGGCAGGAGTGGTCCAAGGAAAGGTCTGAGCCAAGGTCACGGCCGGGCCCTGAGCAGAGGAGCAGCGAGGCCAGTCACATTGCTCCCTAGAGCTGCCCCCAGGAACCACCTGCTGCCACCTTGACTCCGCCCTGTGCGACGGATTGGGACTTCTGATCCCTGAGAACTCGATCCTGTCATTTTAAGCCATTGACTGTGTGGTGACATGTTACAGAGGCCACAGGAAACAGGTGGGATCCCTGAGCAGCATGAAGAGGACACTGAGGGTCAGAGCGGACGGCGTCTAGGAGGGAGGGGGCTCCACAGTCACAGCACCTGAGGCAGTCAGGTGCACGACACTGCAGGCCTCAGTGTTGGGGACACTTAACCACACACACACCCAGGCACACCAAGGAGTCTGGCAGGGTCCCCTGGGAAGATGTGGAGACAAAGGCACAGTAACATGATTCATGATCAAAGGCAGCAAGGTCGAGGTGTCACACACACACACACACACACACACACACACACACACACACACACAACGTCACTCATGGCATCCAGAGGCGCACACACAAACGCATTTACCCTAGATCTCCTCCTGACAGCCCTCTGGCCAAGCAAGGATTATGATACAAAAATAGTTTATTACAAAAGAAACCAAACCTAATAATTTACATTGTTGTCAGTGCCACCAGAGAGCCCTCTCCCTCCCCCTAGCATCTGGATGGAAGTGGGGTGGCGCTGCTGTCCCCGATTCCACCAGCCTCCGGGAGGGGCAAGGACATGAACATTTGGGTGGAATTCGGACAGGGGGCTAGTGCCTGAGAATAATGGGGTGAGAATCCTGGGGGTGTCCCATGGGGAAATATCTATGAACAGAAGAGGGGACTCCAGGGTAGGTGCATGTGCCTTGGTGCAAATCCTGGTCCCGAGGATTGGGGGGAGCAGAGTGAGATCTTCACAGTTTCCAGAAGGGTCGACCCCCCAGGGCAGGGGGGCCCCTCCTCATAAGAGTCCGACACCTGCCCCCCCATCCCTCTCAGCTGCCTCCTGGGGCTGGGGAGGGAGGCACTGGCCGGCCAGGGCCTCGGAGGACCCCCGGAAAGGGCATTAAGGCTGGGGGAGAGAGGGGAGGAAGGAAGAAATTGGGGGGAGCCAGGGTGAATCCGGGGGCGTCCTTGGGAGGAGAACGGGCAGGCGAGGAGCATGGCGACGCGGACAGAAGGCCTGTGGAAGGGGCAGGGAGAGGAGGGGAAGGCGGTGAGCTGGGCCCAGGAAAGAAGGGGGCTGACAACCCCTGGGCCCCTGGGGCTGCGGGTGGGGAGCAGGGCTCTCACCGTTGGAGCTGAGGCGGCTGCCACTCTCTGGGGAGGTGGTGGCACTTCGGTCAGGGGAGGGCTCAGGCTGCGATGCGGAGGCAGCCCGGCTGGCCTTCCCCCTCAAGATGTCGATGACCTGTGGGGAGATGGGGGTCACTACAAGGCCTCATTGCCCGCCCTCCAGCTGCCCGCCTGTTCCTGGGTCTGCCAGTGGGCACTGTCCCACGTGATCGCCTCTGTCCCCAGCAGAAGGCGGGCTGGCACTTCCTTTCTTGGTGCCTCAGTTTTTCATCTAGAGAACCCCTCCCCCCCCCGCCGGGCGCACACCCGGGGCGCCCCTGCAGCACTCGTCCCCCGTCCCCCGCGCCCTGGCACCCTCACGGGTCAAGAGTTCGGGACACGCCCCTCCCCAGGACGGCGCAGCCACTCGCGCTTCAGGTCCAGACTCTCCCCACGCCTGCGCGCACTCACCCGGCGGCTGCGCGCCACCATGAGCGGCGTGTCATTGTGGCAGTTCTTGAGGCCGCTGTCTGCGCCGCTGCGGACCAGAGTGCGCACCAGAGGCAGGAGCCCGCGGCCGGACGCCGAGTGCAGCGCCGAGCTGCCCGAGTACATCTGCGCGTTCACGTTGGCGCCGTGCTGGGGGCGGGACAGTGGGTCGGGTCAGTACCCTCGGGGACAGCCCAGGCCAGGTTGAAGCCAGGGCGAGGGGCGAGTCGGATCCGGGATCGGGCCGAGTCCGGAGCCAGAACCTGGCGCGGGACTAGATTGCGGCTGGGGTCATAGAAGGGTGAGAACTAGAACCAAGGACTGGCCAAGGGGGGCAGGCGGCGCGGCATCCACCGGCGCTAGACGCCGCGGCCTGGCGGACGTAGGAGCAGAGTCAGAGAAGGGAAGGGTCGCCCTTCGGGGCCGGATTGTGGATGGAGTCGTCGTGGAAGGGCAGCGCGGGGACACAGCCAAAGCCGGAAGGCCGTGTCAGCAAGGCGATCGCAGCCAGGGCCCAGAACGCGGAGGAGCAGGAGGAGGGGGAGACGCCGGGTAAAGCTGGCAGGCAGCGGAATGAGGTCGGAGGGTTAGGACGAGGCCTAGAAGGAAGGTCAGGCTGGAAACGGAGCAAGAGCCAAGAGCCAGAGTTGGGTCAGCGCAGGAGCGAGAGCGACATCCAGGCTGGGGTCCGAGGAGAAGGTGGAGGGTGGATGGAGAAGCCAAGCCCGGGGCTCTGCCCACCTGCAGCAGCAGCTGGACCATGCTCAGGCTGTTGTTCTCCACGGCGTGGATGAGCGGCGAGCGGCCGCTCTTAATGTCCTGCGAAGGGGCGGGAAGGTCTTAGTCTTCAGGTTCTGCACAGGAGCCCCCGGCCCCGGCCCAGCAGCTGGGTCCGGTCTCCCTACCCGGTTAGATCCTCTAAGCTCCACCCACCAGGGCTCGCCCGCCGCAGCCCCGCCCCTGCCCCTCCCCTCCAAGGCCCCACCCCCTGCGCCTGGCCCGCTCACCACTGCGTCGATGTCCGCGCCGCGCTCCAGCAAGAGCAGCACGGCCTCGTGGCACTGGGTGTTCACGGCCACGTGCAGGGCGGTGAGCCCTGAGGGAAGGGGAGGCTCAGTCAAACCCGGGCCTGGAGTTTTGAAGCCTCAGATGGCTCCAGGTAGACAGCACAGTCCCACCCTGCCCCGCTGCAGGGACTCACCGTCGTAGTTGCGGGCCTCTAGGTCCACAGTGCCCGGGGCTGCGCTGTCCAGCAGGGCCCGGAGGCAGGTGGGGCTGCGGTGTTCACACGCCAGGTGGGCTGCGGTCTGGCCATGACGGTCCAGCGCCATGGGGCTGGCACCAGCTGTCACCAGGAGCCGGACCACAGACGGTAATGTGGTAATCACAGCCAGGTGGAGGGGTGTCTGGGGAACAGTGACCATGAGGGACGCGCATCCTGCCCTGGATTCCAGTCCTGACTACAGTCTTACCCAGAACGAAACCTGGGGCATCTATTCCCTCAGATTCAAGAGGTAGGGCCCCGTGGCCCCAGAGGTCTGGGCCGCCAACCTCCCCTTTCCCCAGGACTTGGGTTCTGAGCTGCTAGCCACTCCTCCCTCACTGAGGAATCTGGGTCCTTCGGTCCCCTCCTTCCTCAGAACAAACCTCTATGACCCTAGATCCTTCTCAGGAACCAGGAGTCTGGAGTACCTCCTCCACCCTTGACCCCCAGACCCTCCTCCCCCAGCCGGGGGCCTCACCTGACGCAGGTTGTTGTAGATGTCCAGCTCTCGGCCCCCATGCTGGAAAAGGCTGACCAGCTGATGCACTGCCGGGAGATTAGCCTGCACCACGGCAATATGCAGAGGCCTGAGGGGTGAGGCAGGAGGCAACCACAGACATTAGGGGTCACCGCACCCCACTGTTGCAAGTGCTAATTCCAGTATGTATTGGACACTTTGGGAGTATCCCTGGATCCCAGCACGCCTCCCCCTCCCCCTGGTTCCACTGCCTTAGGGAGTATTAGTCCCCTCCTGCTTGCCTCCCTGCTCCAATGTTTGTCCCAGCCAAAGGAATCCTTTCCCCTCCTTTTTCCTTTCTGCATATCCAAGGACTAATTAATAGAACTCAGGGTCTCACACATGCCAGGCAAGTGCTCTACCACAGAGCCACATCCCAGCCCTTTTAAAATTCTATTCTGAGGGGTTGGGGATGTGGCTCAAGCGGTAGCTTGCTCGCCTGGCATGCGTCCTGCCCGGGTTCGATCTTCAGCACCACATACAAACAAAGATATTGTGTCCGCCGAAAACTGAAAAATAAATATTAAAAAATTCTCTCTCTCTCTCTCTCTGTTTAAAAAAAATTTTTTTTAATCTGAGATAGGGTCTTGCTAAGTTGCACAGGGCCTCGCTAAATTGCTGAGGCTGGCTCTGAACTTGCAATCCTCCTGTCTCAGCCTCCAGAGTTGCTGGGATTATGGGCATGCGCTACCACGCCTGGCTCATTTGATTTTTCTGTTTGCATCTGTTGCACTCTCCTCGATTTGCCCTGAGCACACGGGCCTCCACGCTGTGCTCCTCAGACAAATCAAGATGCTGGCCTCTGGGTCTTTGCACTGGCTCTTTCCTTTGGAACAGCTTTTTCCAGATACCTGTAGGGCTCACTCCCCTTGGGGCCTCTGCTAAAGTGGTTCAGCAACTATTCACTCGCCTCCCTTTCCTTATTTTCCCCCACATCAGGGCCTAGCACGCTGTAGTCTACAGTACTTTTTTCCTGTCTGAATCACCATGCTAGAATGTCAGCTCCACCAGGGGCAGGGCATCTGCATGCTCGTCCATTGTCCAGGGCTTAGGAAACACCTAACTTGAAAGGGAGCTCTGTGAACGTGCGCTGGGACATGAATCCACGTCAGTGATCACCCTGACCTTCCTGAACCTTCCTGTCCCTCTCTGGCCTCTGTGAAATGAGAAGGGGTGACCTTGATGCTATAAAGCTCTCTGCCCAAGTTCAACCTCCACAAGAGACTCAGGGGTGGGCTGTGTGGAGCACAGGATTTGACTAAAGGGGGGAGAAGCAGGTGGGATGGGGTCTGGCTTTGGAGCTGGGCTCTGAAGTCCAGAATCCTTTTCCAGGTTGAAGGACTAATTGCCCCAGTTTGGGGGAAGTTTTTGGCTTTTAGATAACCTGGGAACTACCCTCACTCATCTCAAAAGGGCTGCTTGCCTAAGGTCACTCCCCACCGGAAGTGGGGCTGGCCGCTGCAGTGCGGTGGCAGCCAGTGATGGGCCACTGTGGCTCAGCAGGCCAGGCCTCTAGGCCCAGCTCTGAAGGCCCTTGAGCTTCAGCAACAGCTGAGACTGCACAGAGCTCCACCTCTCCCTCTGCCAGACCCATCTCCTTCATTCCACGGTGTGTGTGTGTGTGTGTGTGTGTGTGTGTGTGTGTGTGTGTG